TCCTCTCTCTCTCTCTCTCTCTCTCTCTCTCTCTCCTCTCTCTCTCTCTCTCTCTCTCTCTCTCTCAGTCTCACTCTCTCTCTCAGTCTCACTCTCAGTCTCACCCTCACCCTCACCTTCACCTTCACTTTCACCCTCCTTCACTTTCTCACTCTCCCACTCACCCACACCTCCCCCCCCCCCCTCTCTCTCTCTCTCTTCTCTCTCTCTCTCTCTCTCTCTCTCTCTCTCTCTCTCTCTCTTCTCTCTCTCTCTCTCTCTCTCTCTCTCTCTCTCTCTCTCTCTCTCTCTCTCTCACACCTTCCCCACATCTTCCTTTAAAACAGACATTCTGACTCTTAAACTCTTTCCACTGTTATAACTACTGACACATACACATGCCGGTATAAACAAACACATATGCACACTTGTATCTAGTGTATATGCATACAATATGTACTCACACTTACATTCATATTTAGTATATGTATTAGCATGTATGAAGAAAATGACAGATACCTTTTTATTGTAGCAAAGCAAAATGTTTGTTGTTTGTATTGTGAGGTCATGATACAGCTGTATCAACCATGTGTGCCTGGATGTTCAGATTAATATATGTCAGAGTTTTCCTCATTAATGAGTAGCATAAGGATTAAGTGATTCTTCTGTGTTAATTATCCTATGATATATTTTACCATAGAATTTTAGCAGATACATTTTATCATTAGATAAAAATTATGGTATTAAGATGTTGCTGTGATAATTTGATGGGACTTTAAAGCCAAATATAGTGTAGGATAAGGGACCGTGGGGACAGGAGAGAGCTGAAGCAATCTGGTGTCCCGTTTGTGGTTATTATGCAAGGAAGACCTCAATGATAAAAGGACCTTCTTTGACTAATCTTAGGTAGCTACATCTTTGTGCTGTGTTTGATGCTCCCCTACTAAATATACTTAATGAAAGAGCAGAAAGCTGTATGGTAATACATTTTTTGCTCACAATGAATAGGTTATTAGTGTTAATTTAACTGAGAGATTCAAATGTTGATCTGTATCTTGTAAATTTAAAGATGTCTTTATATACTCCACATTCCAGGGATTGGTATTGCTTTATGAAATTAATGCATTTATTGAGAAATGGAATTATGCTATTCAGCCGTGTGCCATTAAGTTAATGCTGTTAAATGCTGCTTAATACAGTATATGTAGGTATTTAGTGCAAGAAAACCTAATTGCAGATTTTTTCTTTATTTTCGTTATTTGGCAAAAAAAGCAAAAGTGTGTTATAGATGTTGCCAACATTGCTAATGAAGGTTAGCCTTGCACTCCTGGCTTCCAGTTGTTGTTAAAGAATGAATTTTTAAAGTGCTCTCTTTTTTATGCATTTTAACCATAGTAGAATGGACAAAATATAAAATCTTTTTAAGGTAATAAAATGTTGATGTTGCCAGTTGTATGATGTTTGAGTAACCTTCCTTGACTTAAAAAAACATTCAATTTATCCTCAGTCCTGCTAAGAGAGTATGGCAGGTGATATAGAAATGAAATGAAAGGAAGCTGGACCAAACTTTACAATGAATGAAAGTGTACAAAGGAAACCAGTGTAAAAATCTATTTGTATGGAGTAAAGTTTCTACAGTTATATTGCTCAGTGTTTAAAATGTAATAACCAAAGTTGTGAACAAGGCAGATGGAATTGGTAATGCACACATGATATCAGAGGCTTTTTTCAGTAAGATCAGGACAACAAAGAGATAATGAGACAAATTACCAAATTATCACACTGGCATTTTCAGCCAGTGATTATAATGCAAGAAAAAATATCTTCCAGAGAATTATTCACTGATGTTGCTTATATCAATTTCGTCTTGGGTCTTTATTTGCTGATGCATTTAAATTCCTAGAAACTTTGCATCTGCAAATTATGAATTCAAATCACTTTACTCCAAATGTTACAATGGTTATTTATTTACACTTGAGGTAATTGTATAGTATTGTGATTATAAAATATTCACATAAAAGATACCTGGACAAGCGTTTTGATCTTATACTTAAGTGACATATGCCTCTGGCAATTTTGTTTGGAAGGTATGCAGATTAGAAAATGTTTAATATTTAAAGGCACATAGTTCAATGTGTCTATGGATCTGCAGCTGTCTTGCCTGTTTCCGTATGTGATCTGTTGACATGCAATTCCAGCATTTTTAACTTGTTTATTTGAGGGATTACATTCACTCATTTTCATCACCCGATGCTACTCTTCCAAGAAAAAAAATGTATTTCTTATACCTTTATTGGTTAACCCTATATGTTAGAACTCTAGTTAATAACATTGCTGAGCCAAACCTGCCATGACATAATGGGAAGTCATCTTGGAGTGGCCTAGTCTGGAGTCTACTATGACACGATGGGACGTCATCCCAGTGTCTGTGACACGTCCTCTCTCGCCCTCTTGCCCTCCCGCGTCCTCTCTCGTCCTCCTGCCCTCCCGCGTCCTCTCTCGTCCTCCTGCCCTCCCGCGT